GTGTGGAGATATGTGGGGGTCTGGCTGGTTCTGATCCAGCTCAGGTGATGGGAGAGATACCTGAGGGTCTGGCTGGCACTGATCTGGCCGGGGAAGGGGAGGAATCGTGGGGATCTGGTATTGCTATGGCCCAGGGGAGGGGAGAGATGTGGGGTTCTGGCTGGTGTACCCCTGGCTCAGGGGGATTATACACAGGATATGTGGGAGGCATTGGCTGGGTATGCTTTGCAGTTACCCTCGAGAATGCTATGGGAGCGTAAGGAGGTTGGAAACAGCCCCCCTCAGGGTCTTCCCTGGCTGGCCTGGGCATCGCTCGCTGCCCTCTGTCCCATTCTCTGCTTCCCCAGGGGGACTGTGTATAAGTGAGAGCTGCCCCGAGGCTGCTGTAGCATGTACCTGGGGGCTCGTCCTGCACTCCCTGTCCCACCAGAGTGACTGCCTGGGCCCGCCTTTGCTGCCATTATTCCTGGGGTGGGGGGTTAAATCCCCTGGAACCGCAGTGCAGGGACAGGGTGAATGGGGGTCAGACGGCAAGTTAGATGGTAGCCAGCACTAGGCATTGAACTAGCGATGGCCGGCTCTGAAGAGGCAGGCTCTACAGATCAGGCCCAGCGGGGGCGACGTGGCCCACACTGTCTGTTCAGCGGGCACCCACGCTGCTCTGCTGCGGCCCGGGGGGCCAGTGGGCAGGTTTGCAGCCCCTCACAGCCCCTGTCCTGTCCTCTCCCCTCAGTTTGTGTGTGAGGTGCCATCACTGCACCAGGTGCGGCAGAAGCTGGACTCGAAGGGGCTACAGTCGCTCTCCGCTGCCCTGGAGTTCATCCCCAATGCCAGGGTGCGGCTGACCGATGAGGAGATGGAGCGGGCATCCCAGCTGCTCTCCATGCTGGGCGACTGCCAGGAGGTGATCCGGGTCTACGACAACATCGAGTAGGGGCCAGCGCAGGGGGTAGCAGATGGATGGTGACAAGGCACGTCGGTCCCGGCTTGGCCTAGTCCTGGCCTAAGATCAGCCCATCTGGTGGGCAATGGGTGCAGCTCAACTTGAGATCCTCCTGTATGGACGGCAACCGGTGTGTGGCCTAGTCCCTTGGATCAGGAGCCCATGGGGCAACCAGTTCAGGACTCTGCCTCATCCTGCCCTGGGATTGGACGCCTGAGCGCCACGTGGTTTAGGGCTCGGCCCAAGATCGGGCTTAATTTGGGATTTCTTCCCAGGGTGAACCATCCCCATCGCAGCTCTCCAGGTGCCAACACTGGGTGCAATCTGGCGGCACTCTCTGGGGCAGAAGCCCTTGCTCCTGAGGATGGGGCGTGTTCTCTGAGGCATCTTATGGCTCCTAACTTCGTCCCCTGGGATTCGTGACCTGTATGCCTCGGCTCCCCTCTTGAGTCTGATCCAGCAGGCCTTCTGCAGTAAGGCCTCCCTGCGTGATGCTCTGGCATGTCCCCCTCCCACTGGGATGGGTGGAGGGAGCTTCCTCTGCACCCATACAGCACTGAATACTCCGCGGATAAAGAGTAACACTGTGCCAAGGCGATGACAACCTACGGACTTAACACCTCCCTGTTGTGTGACCCCCTATTCAGCACCCCCAGCAGGAGAGCAATAGGGAGCGCACCCCACCCTCCGAATGTACTGTCTGGGGAGGGCGGCCTTTCCCTTACATTGCTTAATAAATGGTTTGCTTGTCAGTGCTGGGGAGACTCTATCCATAACTTGGCTCTCACTGCAGTGTTGCTACATCCA